TATAATCGCCGCGCCTATCGTACTTGGTATGGAAATAGCTGCCGGAGTCTCAGGACTGGCAGGAATAACGATAAAATTCATTTCTCGTAAGTTGTAAAAGAAAGCATTAAAACACGATAATATTCGGATACTCGCCGAAGCAAAGTTGAACAGCATTGAGGATCATATTTCAACAGCAATGGCTGATTGTAAGATATCCGAGGAGGAGTTTCGTTTAGTGCTGTCGGAACTCACCAAATACAACGTAATGAAGCAGGAGATTCGATCCAATTCTCGTAAGACCAGTGGTATTAGCGAAGATGAGAAAAAAAAGTTCATAGAACAGGGGAGACAACAAGCTCGTCAATTATTCCGTGCCAAAACCAAAGAACTGGTTGGAGATTAAAAATAGATTGCTTACTATCGTTAGATCACATTTAGAAGAATGCTTACATAAGTACATAATAATGGAGAATTACAAACCAACAAAGGAAGAACTCGAAAAAGCTATCAAAACATTTATGTTCAGGGACAAAATTATCAAATAGAGAGAATTACCACAAGGTATATATTATATCAGTGATGTCAAACCAACGAAATACGGTCATCAATTGTTTCTTTCCAATTACCAAGAAGAGTATATAGTCTGGTCTCGTAGTAAAATGAACGAAGAACTTAGTAAAAATGTTGAATATCACTTCGTTCAAAATAATGGTACGCGTATTAGTAAAAATAATAGAGAATATTTTCATTACAATTTAGTTTAGTCTCATCTTCGTTTTGGTACTAATGGTATCATTGATTGACTCCAGGTGGTGGTGAGCTAGAGTCAATTTAACTTAACATCATGACTATCGTTGAATCGCATAGTCATTTACACATAAAAAATGCCACCTGTAGTGGTGGTATAGGTATATAAATCTGGCTCCAGTGGGGTTGCGGCAGAATCACCATTACCTATACTACTGGTATTCTTACATACATATGGACTCAGGACCCCTCCCCCTAGAGGTGTTACAGACTATCATCTCAGCTGATGTCTTAATTGGAAGAGCGTGGCTGTGACACATCTCGCCAGGCGATATCTGCCCATTGATCATGAGACCCATCCTTTGATTCCCAGTGTCAGCGGAGAAATTGTTTTCCAGTTAGTAGAGGGCGCCTGGTGCCTAACACACCAGCAAGAACTCTGCACCTAATACACCAGATGCAAGACGTTCAACACCATGTCATCAAGCAAGGCGCCCATTCTCCATGTCTGACAGGCACTCAGAGCTGGAGAGGCGCTCGGCCTTGGACAGGCGATCTATGCTGGGCAGGTGTTCGGAGCTGCAGAATTGCCCAACCGGGAGGCGCACTGCGCATCACCCGCCTACTACACCTGACAGGTTATGTCTTGATCATCATGATGTTTGACCATCTACTTCATCTTTTAGATCTTCCGACCCCTCGCTGTTCTACTTATTCAGAACAGTACTTCTGCCCAGATTATGAAGAAGAAGATAATCCCACCTCTTACAATGTGCAGGATTAGCAGATAATGCCGATCAATATAGAATTACACAGAGCACTCATACAAGCGACTCAGTTGAAGAATATGGGGACGCAAGTCTTCGTGTTCACTGCTTTACTGCAGAGACAGGGGATGCTGAATTCACCAAGCACCAAGTGAGGCAGCTATGGACAGCACCTAGTTTGTTCAATGGACAAGTCATTCCTATTTCCAAAGAGGTGACATTACAATGTTCTACAGCTAGCCGAGTGCTAACCTCTATGGCTACTAGATTCGCAGCGATTACTACTTCAACCGTACTGTCTACAGCCACACACATGGCCAAACATGTTCTTCCTGCATGTTTGGACTGTTTACAGGCAGCTTTAAAGAAGAAAAGTTAATCTCTGCGGGCAGCACAGGCGGTAACTGGGATCTGAACATTGTGCTACAGCACTTGCATCAGCAGCCATATGAACTGTTTTAAAAGGCATCAAAGAGAGCCTCACCAGGAAAACTCTTATTCTGTTGGCACTGGTGACAGCGGCATGGGTTGGAAAAATCCATGCCATGGATGTCACCAAAGTCCATTTTGACCAAGCCTGATGCGGCGCAGTCCACTTTGTGGTTTGCTGGGATTTCATTGCCAAGAACCAGCTACCAGGTCAACCTGAGGGACCTTCAATTGAGGGATTGGAAGATGAACTGAGCTTTACAAATTGACCTCGACCACACGCAATCTAAGCCAGAAGAGACTGTTTCATCCTACAAAGCATCACAGCAAGGCCGAGGTCAAGAGGAAGACCATCACCTTTTGGCTTCGATCTACTATAATACTAGCCTATGATGCATTGAGTTTACAGCATCCTCAGGCCAGCAACCCTTACAAGATCCAGGCAATCGCCTCCATTTTGGTTCTCCATGGCAACTGTACAATCGCAGATATTTTGGAGGGATCTTTTAGGAGAATAAACACTGTGTTTGCCAGTCATTATTTTAGTGATAAAGCTGTTGAAAACGCTGTGGGTTCCATAGTTTTTGGCCATTGGCACAGCAGATTGCCAACCCTAAATGACGCTGCTAGTGTAACCCGGAGACTACCACCTGAGCCTCCCCCTCTTGAGGAGTGTCCAGGGGACAAAATGGTTATGACATTCATGATGTTGTCTAGCCAACATAATCATTTTTGTCTGTGAAACTTGGAAGTATGATCATTTAAACCTCTCATTACATCCACTGCACTGATGCTATTTGGCCGTAATACGACTCATGTGAGTTCCCATAGGAAACATCCTTCGCAGTATACCCAGCACTTGAGGGTACTGTTGCAGTTTCCAACTGCTTGCAGATTGCAGTAGCTGTTGGTGGGCAAAGAAACTTGCCTGATGCTACTACACCTACCCACACTCAAGGCTCGGATAACCAGTCTACACTGAAGGTACGCCCTTCTCCGACCGTCAGATAAAATGCAGGATAAGGTCAAAATTTATTGATATGTAATATATTTTACATTTAATACTTTTTATGCTGCATTACATGACGAATGGGCCCACCCGGGATGGCCCGTGGACATTGCTGCTTTCTCTAACAGAAGAGTGACTTGTATGCTGGAAGGTTCGTTGAGGGCAGGATGTGTTTGGGTGTACATTTTCAACTGTGTTCAGGAGCAGGTTTTCTCTTAAGAGATGACGTTTCCAGTCATGTTTTCTCAGGAAATAGAAGGGAATGCGGAAGGGAATCAGATCATGCGTACACTTACTTTACAAGACAATTACACAAACCTCATTATTAATATCTAACATATTTTATATTTAATATTTATCCTGCATTATATATAATATATAATGCAGGATAAATATTAAATATAAAATATGTTAGATATTAATAATGAGGTTTGTGTAATTGTCTTGTAAAGTAAGTGTACGCATGATCTGATCGTTTCATACATGTATCTAATTGTTGCTCAATGTATATTGAGTGAGTTTATAATGATAAGTTAAACTGCTGTGTCGTTATTTTCTCATATCTTCCGAGTTCAAAATATAGCATACAAGTATATTTTAATGTTGGGATTAATTCCAACATTGTTTGATATTAGCATGCATTAATCATAATTTATGGCTTCATTATTAGGTAAATATAAAGTAAACATTATTAGCCAGAATACAATCTTCTTGCAGTTAAATACCAGATAAGTGTAACACAAACCACCCGGTTATGTATTAATATTATTATAAGAATCTATAGTAAGTCAAACTTCAGTAATGCATACATGTATCATGCGCGATGCTATTTATAATAACTTTGATAACGCAACTTCCCAGCATGCCTAGGTACGAGCATGCGCAGCAGCCCTTCAATATCAGCCATCTTGTACCTGTTTCGTAAACAATGACAAGCAATTTTGCTCCCATATGTACGAGCAATTAGTAATAATCAAGTGTTCCAGTTTCTCTCCGGGGTAAGTCAGTATGGTTCCTAAAACCCATAAGAAGCAAACGTGAACGTCAAGCAGGATATCCAGGCAGGATACTCATGCAGTCAATTGTTTACTTTGATTTTGGGTATATTTACCCCTGCAGTCATTAGGATGCCTGTTGTAAAAACACAGGTTAGGCTTGACCTCCATGGTATTTATCATCCAATGTGTTCTATCTGTAGTGTAGAATAATAGATGTGTAGTTAATTGTTGAAACCTGTTTGTATTCTATGTCTCACTCCCAACCAATCTTATTAAAATCAGATCTTTGTACTCTCTACCGCTCAACAAAGATCTGAGGACATCCCAGTAGGGGTCACGTCAGAACGACCTTTCATCCGACCAATCAGAGTGTCGCTTACCAGATCATGAAAGTGACAGTCGGAATGTGATTCCTAAACATGCAGCCTCGAAAACTTTAACAGGGGTTAATCCGAACGATAGTTACAGGCTTTACAACTGAATCCATACAAACTAGACCTTCTATTAGCCATCCCAGAATGTTTTGTTCAGGTTTCAATTTTTTAATCGAGAATTTGTCAAAATATGTTTTGAAGCGTAGTCGCCAATTAGACATTAGAGACGTAAAGCATGAGAAAGCTGTTTTCTGATTGGCTAATGTCTACTTCTTGTCAATCATTCCATTGGTCGGACATAGGTCGTAAAAGGTCGGTCTGACGTGACCCGTAATAGGGTGTCCTCAGATCTTTGTTTAGCAGTAGCGAGAACTAAGATCTAATTTTAATGAGATTGCACTCTCGACAATTGATCCCAACTGAGCATCAGTCATGTACATGTACCAATAGCTTTTCTAGTCACATGTGTATAATTTGCAGTGAGAATCCCCTTACGCAAAACTTTGTTAGGTATGTATTATATTGAATGTGTCTCAGGTATTAAATCATTGTTGCAAGTTTTGTGTTGAATCGTCATTATAAAATAGTTTTGCCAGGGCTACAGTCAAACTGTTTCTATCTGAACATTCTGAATGTTTGTTTAGTCCTGTTCACCACCCCTGTGTTGTGGCTCTAGTTGGTCTTTTTGTTTCAGACCTACACACAGTCGAATCCCAAGTCCAACCTATAATGCTGTTCAGCCAGGTCGCAACAAATCAGATTTGGCCTCATCTGCAACTGATAAGGTATTTTTTAGTATATATATACGTTAACAGCCCATTGTCTTGAGCTAGTGCCTCGCACCAAAAGCTTCCATGATATTTACTATTACCTTTTAGAGCTCCTGCTAGACTTGTCTTGGTCATCAAAACCAAAGAAAAGATTTTGCCTTAACTCTTCAGTCTACTCAGTCATAACCCCCCTTTATTCATGCATTTGGTTTTGTTTTATGTTTCGTACACAATGGCTGGTATTTGTCCCCACCTGTTTTGAATGTTCTGTCATGAGAAATACAAATGTGACCTTATTAAAGTGTCAGTGTACAGCAAAAACCCAGTTTACTCACAAGACCAAGGAGCGTCCATTCCAATTTGGAATGAACGTTGGATTGCTTTGGAAAGATCGCTCATTCAAACTTTTCCAAAGCTTGGAAGGATCGATCTTTACAGAAAATCCAAAATTGGATTGGCAACATTTCTAAACATATTTCCAACACAGGAAATGTTTGGAATGACTTGGAATGTTTTGGAATTGTTTGGAAGTATGTTTAGAAGGAACAAGTTAAAATATGTTTTATTAGTAATTTGAACAATAAAAAGACTATGAATTATCTAATGAGTTTAAACTATATATAATAAATAATAAACTTATCTCAAACATTCACTACTTGTCTGTCTAGCGAGGGGCTTTTACAGTCGCATTCTCCCTAAGGTGAGAGAGAGACCTGCACTTGACTCGACAAAACAATAATAGGTCTCAAGATTAAGTATTCGGCTGGATGGCAGCTGCCATTTAATTATAAAACAGACAGTCGTCTAGACGGCTCACATGTAAGTGCGCCGACATGTGCCTAAGATCATAAAATGGACAATCTTTGGTAAGATCTAATTTAATATTGTCTCACGCCAGAGCTTTGAATAATTCTGTTCATTGAACAATTGGAATTCAGGAAGTTATCAATAATTGTTTTACTTAACATAAGATAAGATAAGTTGTTTAGGTGTAATTATTTCGGGAAAATTCAGATTTAGTCCCATTTTTGGAGTCAAAATCTGAAATTTCGCACCCGCCCTAAATTTGTTGATGGCACCAAGCCAATTTTTAACATAACTCCTTTTTATACACTTTGGTAACCAAGGACTTTCATTGCGAATTAGAGGCCATTATTGAAAATCAACATCTGCACTTTTGCCGATTTTACATTTGCGCCATTTTGTTCTCTCGGACAAAGACAAAGCGTGATCACAGTCATCAAATACAGTGACAACGACATGCTTTAGGGCACCAACAAATCTCAGTTGTAATGTTAACAATGTTAAGAAATACATGAGTGTAAATATGTATTGTGAAATATATCTTTTGCATGGGAAAAAAAGGCGACAACAATGACTGCAGTGAACGCGTTTCTGCTCGCTTCCGGACAGGCTGCGCAGTACAAGCCGTAGCACTGATGGTTTCCCTCATAGGCTAGAGGGCCGTCCCTCTATTATATGGTCTCTGGGCACAGTAGGTGTTCCAGAAGGTACTCTACCTAGAAGCAACTGGAATGTAGACATATCGATGGAAATGACAACTCTTAACGGTGGAGCTCCCGAACACTGGGAGGGTAATACAGATGTCAACCGCTACACAGGGTGCTAAGAGTATAAACAAACAGAGCCATGGTGGTCACTCTATATCAAGGTCACAACCTCAACATAACATTGAGCAGCTGTGGAATTATCACCATAGGTAAAGAGAACACTTTCCATTTATCATGATATGACATTTATACTAAGTTTTCATATAATAATTAGATCCACAACAAGTGCTTTTATGAGTTATCATGGTGTAACATTTATACAAAATTTCATATAATTATAGTTTGGCAAGTAATACATTAATCAAGGTAAAATACCTATACAAAATATCAGTAGTTTCAGTTATAGTTTTCAGATAGATGCCAGCCTCAGGTAACAAGACCCTGTCTCCTAGACATACTATTCAATAAGACAAAAGTTATGTCTACATAATTTAATAGACTTAAAGCTTTTAGATAAATACTAGCCAAAGGTAACAAGAAGTCTTCTCCCAGACATACTAATCAATAAGACAAAAATTAGGTCTACAAAGATTGTATACACAAAGAAAAAAGTAAAGCACACCCAAATATATTTCATTATTGTTTGGTCCCAATATTTGTAACAGTCATGAAAGATATAATTACGGGAAGAATTATGTTTTCTCGAGATGATGTAATCAGTCATGGATGACGAAAACTCACATGCCAGACATGGTATGCCCGTGCAGCATGCTACCCTCAAGTATCCCCAAAAGCAGTACATACAAATGTTAAAATTGCTTTCTTAAGCTCGGTTTGAAACAGTTATTCCATGACATTGTGTGACCATGGCACAAAGGCGATTATCAAACGCCACAAGATGGCAAATAATCGGCATGCAAAATGCAGGAATGTGGTTTGAATTTGGGGTATCATCACACTGTCGTAAGCTGTTTAGTCGAGAAACATGCTCAGACCAGTGATGTGCAGGACCGTCCCAGATCCGGAGCACCTCCTGTGAAGACATATCACGAAGACAGGGACCTTCTTTGTCTCATACGCCGAGAACCCTTTTTAACAACTACTCGTCTGAAACAGTTGCCCAATCGTCGTTTCAGCACCAGAACCGTCAGGAACTGGCTGAAAGCAGCAGGACTGAGGTCTAGACGTGTCATAAAGTGTCCCTTATTGAGATATCACCACAAAGCTGCTCGTTTAGAATGGTGTATGGCACGACAGAACTGGAATCTGAGAACTTGGAGGCGGATCCATTGGTCAGACGAAAATCACTTTCTGCTCCACGTCACTGATGGAAGAACAAGAGTTTGGAGGCACCGGAGCACGCCCTACACCCCCAGGAACATTAAATCAACTGTTGCATACGACGCGGGCATGGTAATGGTTTCGGGGTGTATCTCTCATGATTGCAGGTTGGATTTGGTCACCATAAAGGGCAACTTAACAGGGATCAGTACATCTTGGACGTTTGGGGGCCAGTCGTTGTTCCTCATTTTGACAACCACCCTCTTCATACTCGACCTCAGTACATGGATGACAATGCCAGGCCTCATCGTTCGCATGCAGTCATGGATTACATGAGGGCCAATGCAATAACGATTCTACCCTGGCCAGCAATGAGCCCAGATGTGAACCCCCTTGAACATGTTTGGGATATTCTGGGGCGGCGCATACAGGCAGGAGATCCTCCTGTACAAGATTTACGCCAATTGGAAGCAGCATTGCATCAGGAGTGGTTGTTGTTGACCCATCAACAGATCCAACATCTGACTGGAGGCATGAGACATAGGGTGGAATGCGTCATCCGGGCATGTGGCAGTTATACCCACTACTGATATGTTTCACATGTCATGTCAAGTAGAGACTTTAAGGAACATTTTCACAGGAAACATCAAACGTAACTCGTTTATTTAATCCTGCAGCTCCATACTTTTTTAGGTATTGTCTTAGGTCAAATACAGTACCTTTGTTACCATGATGTTTTTGTCAGTAAATTTCAATCACAACTCACCAATATCTTTATTATTTGTTGTCAAATGTTTGTTCTATCCGATGACATTGGTTTATGCCAATTTGTCATGGTTCAGAAATAGGGGTGTACTTAACTTTTTTCTTTGTGTATATGTTCTGCCTACACTTCCAAAGGCAGTGATACTATAGTCTGGAAGGTAATTTAAGGTACCGATGTTTACTACGTATCTGAAAAACAATTGGACCCACTCCAGTCAAAGCTGGTATGAGATTATTAAACAGTCATACATAACTGGATATTACATTTAAAGACAATTGGTGCGTGAATGAAAAAATCTGTCTATTTAGCTATCACTATATTTCATCAACAACCAGACCTGTTCATCACCGGTGGAACGAGCATTCATTGAAACAGCCATCTGCATAATGCTATACCTGCGTCACAGGGCCATATGACACAGTTGAACCAATCAACTCAACTCGAAAGGGTGCAGGGGAATCACGCCTAACGCTAACACTGTATTCGTGCGTCCCAAAACCAAACTACTCCAAACTCTTCTAAAACTCTATAACCTCATACATGTATATCTAAACGGACAGGTCCCATCACCTTGGAAACAAGCCCTGATCATACCAATCCCAAAACCCAATAAACCAGCTGACCAGGCTAATTCATACAGACCAATCTCCCTAACCTCTAACTTATGCAAAGTAATGGAATCAACGGCAAAAAAACAGGCTACAACACTACTTAGAACAAAACAACATAATAAATCCAGACCAAAGCAGTTTTACCTCCTGGACGCTGAACCTTAGATAACCTCGCCCGACTAGAGCAGGACATTAAAACAGGCCAACTTAACAAACAATATACTACAGGCATCTTTCTAGACTTCTCCAAAGCATTCGACATGGTTTGGCATAACGGGCTAATACAAAAACTACAAAAAATAGGTCTTAAAGGTCAAATAATTAACTGCATCCAAAGTTTCACCTTAGGCATAGACCAAACGCTATCGGACCAATGTCCCCTAGAAAATCGCACTCCCCAGGGCAGCATCCTCAGCCCCACACTCTTCAATGTTATGATTAACGATCTATTCGAGGGACTATCCCCCTAAGTATCGCGGATGATGGAGCCCTCTGGATCCGCACTAAAAGCATTAAAATGGCCCAAAACTTACTACAAAAATCTCTAAATAAAATACAAAAATGGGCTGACAAATGGGGCTTCTCCCTAAACTCAGAAAAAACCACAGGAATAGTATTTAAACACAAAAATATGCAATCCGCCTCTCTAAACCTCCAACTAAACAACAAACCAATCAAATTTAAAAAACAAACCAAATTCTTAGGATTAATCTTCGATGAACATCTCACCTGGGATGCTCACATTAAAAACCTAGTAACCAGTTGCAGCAAAGACCTAAACGCGTTAAGATGCCTAGCCGGCTCCAACTGGGGGGCCTCTAAAAACACCCTCCTCTCACTCTATAT